TCTAGATACTCACGAGATGCACATATGGGACCAGGCGAGAGAACATGAAAGCTGTTCCTGTTGTGGCCAGTACTAGGATGGTCGAATTCTTAAATAACGATCGATTCCAGCTCCATTTTTTTGAGGAACAATTCATGCTTCCTTCTTGCGATGATGGACTCTGATGAAGAATAACTCCAGTCAGGGATGAAACGGCCAAAAGACCACCAAACACCCGAAAGGTGCTCCTCCACTCTAGAATGTCAACTGCTGCCTGAAGAGAAGGACTAAGAATCATCGTTCCTAATCCCTGTCCGGACGTTACTAGTCCGAGAGCAAAGGATTTTCTTTTATCAAAGTAATTGTTCACTATAATTGCTTCAGAAACGAAGACCAGCGACTGACCGATTGCAAAAGGTATGCTGAAGGTAACGTATAGCATATAAATAGTGGAAACAAAGGAGCCCAATGTGACGCCAAGAGAGCATAATAGGCAGCCCACTATTGTTGTAACTCGAAAGCCAAATTTGTTGAGGAAGGCTCCCATTACAGGACCGAGAATCAAAAATAAGCCTTGTATGATCGATGCTACCCACGCTAAAAAACAAAAAAAAATTCTAGTTACCACTACTGATTTTCGTCTGAGATGTTTTTCCCGCGAGACGCAACAGAGACTGACGGTGCTATTGCTTTGATGTAACACGAACATGTCTCTATACAGTAAACTACTAATTCTACTGTTATCATGCAATTTTGGCTGTGTGATATGTATTTGCATTATTAAGCGACGAGTCAAGTAGGATCAAAAGCCAGGTTTCCAATCTTTTTGGAACCCCATTATGCTGACTTTTTTTGTTCAATCGTGCATAAGGCGATTGGGGTTTTGTTACTCTCAAACAGTTGCATATTTATCCATTGGTGATGGACCAATTTATCTTGACGCGTAAATTGTTTGAACGTGGAAGCCAGGTCAGTATCACTCGTTCACTGGTTAGATATAACTCGCTCCAACGGTTAATAATGCAAAATATTCGTCCAGTGGACTACATTATGTTGTTAGACGGAGAGTACTTCGTTCTTTTAACCCAAATATAGTGGTTCATTCGGCAGTTTGTTTTTTGCTGTTTTAACAGCCCTCTCCAGAGTTTTGCTTTTGTCTCAGATACAAAAATACATTCTTATTCAATAACTGTCAGTTTGATCGAGCTTAAACTTTACGAAAGATCACAAACAGCCCTTATTGTTACACCTGTTCAGTATTACATAAACTGACCTGTACTTTCACGATTTTCTCCGAAAGAGTTCATGAAAACGGGAAAAAGAACGCCGAGAGCACTGCTAAATCCAACTGTCAGAATCACGCACAAAGTTGTGAGCCCACAAATAAACCATGACCACAGACTGTCTTGCTTGAACGAGACAATAATACCGCTGAAGAAATTCATAGTGATACCAATTTCTGATCAAAAGGCTCTGGTCTCCTCTGCCCGTTTACCTTTGATGTGCCACCACAAGGGACCGTCACAAATGGGTTATCCTACTGCAAAGACATTTGCTTATAACAACTCAACCGGGCGGATATTATTGCGGTTGGACCTCCTATGACAAAACAAAGTAGTTTTTCCGCTCATGAAAATTCAATAGTGAAAGAGCCCTTGCGGCCCAAACATCCAACATCTTGCGTTTCTGAAACTTCATTCACAGAGATGTTCTTGTGTTTCGAACGTTCTGCGCCAAATGAAGTTCTCCAACATATTTGAAAAATTTAACTGCTAGGAAGAATGCAAAGAAAGAAGAAAGTTCGTGCGCGTTAATTAACTACTGGGAGTGCCGAACTGGAAAATGTTTGGCTCGAGCTGATCACGTACAGTTCGAATGCAGCGAGGTGTGTGCGTCATGACTAAGAAAAGAGTATTTCACCTTCCAGCGCCACTTAACTCAGTCAGTCAGCCGGTTAATGATCGTCTGAACTTATTATATGTTGAAGTATTAAAAAATGTTGAATTCACTTTTAAATCTAACAAACAGAGAAGCCTTGACTGTGCTCTGTTCTGTTATAAAGCACGCAGGAA